CATAGCTCAGAGACTCTAAATTTGTCGCACAGAGATATGCATACAAGACATCCAGTCATGCTCCATTCAATGCCGAAGTGCCAAAGATGCACGTGCAGTGCACGAGGCTATCGTTTTAGGCCATCGTCACGCCAGGATGTCGAGCGGTTTCAACCCGGTTTGGATTTATCTTTCAATTTCCAACATTCAATTGCTCTGCACCCTTTTGAATCGATGGACGGGCGCGATTCGTCTGCATTGTAGCCCATTCAGCATTTATGAGTTTGATCATTTGCAGATAAATGTCAATAAGCAGCAAACAGCGCGGACAATAGCAAACAAAAGAAAGAAAGAAAAACACCATCAGACGTCCGAAGATCCGACGAACGAATCATGATTGCCGCAATACCCATAATTATGTTTGAGTAGCTATTAGCAGCCCTAAGCGAGATGTGTTCTCATACTGGATACACAGCTGCTTTTGGTTGCAATTAAACGTTCGATGATGCCCTGATCATGACTTCCTAAAGTCTCGTGCATTCTAATTTGGAAAAGTCGAAAACAGTCCATAAACAAATGCATTGCTGGGCTCAGTTCATTACACTTTTGGTTTGTAATGAAGTCTATTTTTACATGTGGACATACGAAAGCAACTTCTCAGTTGCACACCAAGAGCGTGAAAAGGGCTATTAAGTATAACAAGTCATAAAATCAAAATCTACAGAAAGGATATCTCTATTCCTTCTTCACGGTCATAACGGTTTTAACATCCAGGATTACATATCAGAAATATGTAAATGATCATTTGGCAACGACGCTCGTTGGGTGATAGCGCCGCCGCTTTATAAAATACTGGGCCAACACGAAACTTCTCCAATTACTTAGTGTAGGACGAGCGGGATGTGTGGCCGCAAGCACAGGTTTTCAGCTCAACAATCCTGAGCGATTAAAATGTTGTAGCTGTCGTACTTTGTCTTCGGTAAGAACCGTTACGGCTAAAACACTAACACAACGGAAATAAAGCCATAACCACATAGCCGCCACCCAGAGTTCAGCTAAGGATAAGCTATGCAAAATTCCTACAACGCCTGCAGAAATATTATAAAAATATCGCGATATGCGTTTGCATAGCCCCGATTCCTCTACGTTGGCTGAGGTCATTTGCTCATCGTCAACAGCTTTCAGTTTATTTGTTATAGATAACCAGGCTACAATAAATGAACAGATATCGGGAAAACATATATTGGTGAACGATATCGAACATACAGATATCGAGTAAGGAACTTAGAGAACGTCTTAGAAGGGCTGGTCTCCATCGACAGAGGTCAGGGTAGGCCTGACTTTACCGTTGTCCCTATATCCTGTCTTCTATATCCTGCCCCTATCCCACCACCCCTGAGCTGCGTTATGTCTGTCATCGAGACGACTTTGTTAGTGCCCATCGAGCCTTGAAAACGCACCGTCCAGCTATTGTAAAGCATACAATGGGTGGAAACGAGATGAAGCACATTAAACGCGCTATCCATATGCGGTGATATGGGGGATAATAGAATATGGTAAATAGAAGCGTACGACACGTGTTAGCTCAGCATAAAAAGGCAGAATGAAAAGGCTGCTATTTATAGGTCAAGGGAGGCATCGCCATTGTTCTTCTGGCTGAACGTTGACAATGGAACTCTGAAAGAATTATTGAGGAAACTTTAGTTGGAAATGAGGCTTATTTTTACCGTGAAATATCTAGATACGTGAAAATCTAGCGACAGCCTACTTCATCAGGACAATGCAAATACCACACATAGGTATAGCTGCCGCCGCGCACACCACTGAGGGCGCACCAGACGGCAGCGTGACGGCCCACTCCGGCGGCCGGTCTCTAACGGCTGGCCGGAGCACCAGCGGTCCGCCTCACCTGACTCAAACACGTGCCGCGACCGGGCGGCGCCCACCGACCCTGGCTGTGACCGGAACACCAGCGGTCCGCCTCACCTGACTCAAACACGTGCCGCGACCGGGCGGCGCCCACCGACCCTGGCTGTGACCGGAACACCAGCGGTCCGCCTCACCTGACTCAAACACGTGCCGCGACCGGGCGGCGCCCACCGACCCTGGCTGTGACCGGAACACCAGCGGTCCGCCTCACCTGACTCAAACACGTGCCGCGGCCGGGCGGCGCCCACCGACCCTGGCTGTGACCGGAACACCAGCGGTCCGCCTCACCTGACTCAAACACGTACCGCGACCGGGCGGCGCCCACCGACCCTGGCTGTGACCGGAACACCAGCGGTCCGCCTCACCTGACTCAAACACGTGCCGCGACCGGGCGGCGCCCACTGACCCCGGCTGTGCCTCGGGACGAGTGGGCAGACGCGGCAGGAGCGGGCGCGGTCCTAGCTCGCCCCTCACCTCGTCACCCGCCCGACGCCGCTAACAGGATCACCTGAAGCCCTTGCCCTCAACGACGCAGCGACCGTCGCAAAAGGCTGACGGACGGCGACGGCGGTGTGGCAAGCCGTAGCCGACGTGCGGCTGGTAAGGTCGAGGAGGTCGAGTTATCGTTCGCCATTATTCAAGCTCTGACAGCATTTAAATAACTTGCGTGCAAGTCACTCACGTGACGGTTGTCAAAGAACGTTGTTCTGGCACTAAAATATACATACATCGAGGATTTTTCAATATCACTGAAACCTATAATCTATAATTCGTTCAGACAGATGAAGCCGGTTCAGACGACTTAAACAGATAGTCGGTATAGACTTAAGCGCACCACGGAAACCAGTGAACTCAGGGCCTCCCACCCAAACAATCCCGTCTGGAACATCACTGAGGGTGTATTCAGGGATGGATCCAGAACGCCACCACGTTAGGGAGCAAGGCAACGTCGGGTTGAGGGACAATGTCCAAAAATTCTCAGTTTCAAAAAGTCGTCGGACTTCGATTTTTTAACCCATGGAGTACTTCAAGAAACATTTTCCCTTGTAAAAGTTTCTTAGGACCCCCCACTTTCCTTGCTCTTGCTTCATCCTGAATCCTCACGACACCCGTTTGAACGGAGGCATGCTACATGTATCCCAGGTGCGCGTAGTTCTGCCTCACCGGTATCTACTCTCCTGCCTCCCTTAGCCCCGAGATGGTCACAACTGACCAAAGGGACTCTAATACAAGCAACATAAACCGAGTTGCTTGGATCATCTTCGAAGACCAGGCGTGTACCACTTTTGAACAGTTTTGGCAATCTTGATGCGGCGGGGGTGGGTGAGGATGGGTGGGCGAGTCAAGCCGGCGCGCCCTTGGATGAGACTTTACCTGCATGCACCTTTTGCCACGATGGGGACATCCTGGGCAGATGTGAGATATGTCCGCAATACATTTGCATTCGAGACGAGAAAAGACGAATCAGATTTATTTTCAAGTTGATCAACGAGTAGTCATATAATGCTCCATGCGTACAGCTCAAGAATCTGACAAAACTTGTACTTAGTTCAAGACATAAGCATTACAGAGTTCGTGCCAGTACATTCATTGAAACGAGCATTGCTATACGTCTGGGCGATCGGTTCCTCTACGCTCTTGGAGCCGTTGGAGACCCGTGGCTGCCGCTCGCTACAAGGCTTTTATACAACACACAACAGCTCAGAGTTTGCTGTCTTGGTACAGCCAGCACACCATTCAATTCATGACAAGCTAACACACTATTCAGCTCATGACCAGCTAAGGTGCCATTCAGGTTCATGACATAAGCTGAGCAGAGACACCGAAGAAAGTCAATTTTGCTCTGAATCTGGTAAAGTTGAACACATGTGACGCTTCAGGCTACGCCATATCGCCGGCCGCTGTCTACGCGCCGTCCGTCAGCGGCCGCCGCTGTCTGCGCGCCGTCCGTCAGCGGCCGCCGCTGTCTGCGTGCCATCCGTCAGCGGCCGCCGCTGTCTGCACGCCGTCCGTCAGCGGCCGCCGCTGTCTGCGTGCCATCCGTCAGCGGCCGCCGCTGTCCGCGTGCCATCCGTCGCTGACCGCCGCTGTCTGCGTACCGTCCGTCGGCGGCCGCCGCTGTCTGCGTGCCGTCCGTCAGCGGTCGCCGCTGTCTGCGTGCCGTCCGGCAACGGCCGCCGCTGTCTGCGTGTCATCCGTCGGTAGCCGCCGCTGTCTGCGTGCCATCCGTCGGTGACCGCAGCTGTCTGCGTGCCGTCCGTCAGCGGCCGCCGCTGTCTGCGTGCCGTCCGTCAGCGGTCGCCGCTGTCTGCGTGCTCTCCGTCACCGGCCGCCGCTGTCTGTGTGCTGTCCATCAGCGGCCGCCGCTGCCTGCCATCCGCCGTACCGACCCGGCTAGTTGACGCCCACCGTCGCGAGGTCGGTCGCCCTGACGGCCGTCCCCGAGCTGGCCCGTCTCCGGTGACCTGTCCAGATTATGCCGGGCGGCGGTCCGCGGCGATCGATGCCCGTCTGCCCCTCCCCTCTCTCCCTCCGCACCCGACGCGTCGTCGCCCCGGCTTTCCTAAAGGAGTGGCTCGATGTTCCGGGGCGCTTGCGAGACAAGACAAAGCGGTTGGTGCATGGAAGCTGGTGCATGCGTGCTCAATGAAGCCCAGTGCATGCCGCGCACACTGTCACACAAACACGCCGGCCTATCAGTGAGTCTCCGGCACCGCAGATGTCCGTCCAAGCCGCCGCATCTGCGAGCGCCATCTCATCCCGCACAGTCAGCCTCAGTGGCGCGGCCGCAGCCGCAACCGAGCGTCCTTCGAGTCGAACGCCGCCCGGCGCCGGCGGCAGGTAACGTGATCGCCGTGCCAGACATAGACCGGCGTGTATTGATCGCGAGACGAGCACGTCCGGCTCAGACCGGCCCCCGTCGGCGGCAGCGGCTCAGCTCAGGACCTGAGGGCCCCGCCGTGGTGCCGACGAGCACGTCCGGCTCAGACCGGCCCCCGTCGGCGGCAGCGGCCCAGCGCAGGACCTGAGGGCCCCGCTGTGGTGCCGACGAGCACGTCCGGTTCAGACCGGCCCCCGTCGGCGGCAGCGGCTCAGCGCAGGACCTGAGGGCCCCGCCGTGGTGCCGACGAGCACGTCCGGCTCAGACCGGCCCCCGTCGGCGGCAGCGGCCCAGCGCAGGACCTGAGGGCCCCGCCGTGGCGCCGACGCCCCGCAGCCACACGCCATTTGGTCCAGGGCGCGTCTCTCGGGCCTAGCGCCGTGTAGAAGCCGGTGGTTCTCTGGAGTTGGCCCCGGCCGAGAGCTGGCGCGCTGCGAAGTCCTGGCCATTTCATCTTAGTGCCTCGCTATATTTTTCTCGATAATTCATGCGGTGAACCATTGCTAACGAGTATAATTGAAACAATGTTGCATTCATTCCTTGTATTCTGCTCACGATACAGACTAATGGACTATCGGAGGACACATTCACACGACTGACAACACCTCGAGCCTAAAGGAGCCTAGGCGTGAAAATTAGCCGACACTCGTTTGGCATACAACTAGGGACGACCACGAGCCAATGCGCACCGACCTCCCAGCTTACCTGGAAGGCAAGCCTTACCTATCCCATTTTAGCGACAATACGATTCTAGTCACAACACCATACCGCGTTATGCGGGGTGGGGATGGGTGTGGGAGATGGAAAGGGGCAAATCGATCGGCACACGTCCCCTGCAGGGTACCAGCATGGCGAGAAGTAGCCTTGACTAGTGGCCAGCGCTGTCCCCTCGGTCGTCTCTACGCGGCGCCGCCGCTCTGCCACCATAGCCGCGCTCCCCAGCCACAGGCGAGGCGCACTAATCTTCGCTCTTCGGCGGCACCACGCCCTACTCCGGCGGGCGGCGAGCGCGGCCCGCCCTCTTCCTCTGCCGCGCCGTCTCGAGGGAAGCTGCCCCCTCCCGCCGCGGAGAGCCGTCCCGCCCGACGGCCGGCCGCGCCTTCGTCCCCGGCTCCCGACCGGACGGCGACGCCGGCGCTGCGACGTCGTACTTGCGCACCAGACGCGCCAGGATGCCGACGTTGGCGCAGAAGAAGGCGACGCTCTCGGCCCAGACGAGTCGGTGCACGCTGCGGCCCTCGAACTCTAGCAGGTAGGCCGGCAGTAGCCAGCACGCCTGCGCGAAATACCAGAGCGCAAGCAGCAGCGCACCCTCAGTCCACGAGGCAGACAGGCGCGGCAGCACCGGCGGAAGCAGGCTCAGGTACCACAGAAAGTACTGCGACGTGCACACCTTGTTGAACGTGACGAAGGCGTACGTCTGGCAGAAGGCGCAGAAGAGCAGGTGGCGCGGCCGGTGGAACTTGGCCGCCAGCGCGAGCACCAGCAACACCTGCGGCACAAACGTGACCAGCGCCAGCGCCCAGTGGCCTAGCTCGTCCGTCAGGTACAGCAGGTAGAAGAAGACGGAGAAGTTGTGCCGCACGTCACGCCGGGTCAGGTGGTACAAGTATGCCTCCTGCAGGAACTCGTCGCCATAGAGCAGCCAGCAACCGGCTGTCAGCGCCATGAACGTCACCAGCGCGCCACCGGCCAGCCGGAGGCGAGCGCCGTTGGGCAGCAGCCAGCGCCGCAGGCCGGGCCCGTCGGCCAGCGACCAGTAGAGCGCCGGCGCCAGCACGGCCGGGTATAGCTTGACGTGCACGGCCAGACCCAGCGCGGCGCCGGCCAGCAGCAGGAGGCGGCGCCGCGCAAGATACAGCGTGTACAGCACCAAACACAGCACCAGCGACTCGGCGTTGCCGCGTGAGCAGACGGTGATTGGCAGCGGGTTGTACCACCAGAGGGCGGCGCAGCACACGGCCACGCGCCGGCCGTGCCCCTCCAGCAGCACCAGCCGATGGATCAGCACGCCCACGACCACGTCCAGCGCCGAAAACAGAAGTTTGCCGAAGCTCCGACAGATGGTGGTGGGCAGCAGCGTCCAAGCAAGCAGCGGCGTGTAGCGGTAGGTGGCGCGTCGGTACGGACTCTGTCCGAGCGCCACGTACTGCGCCGCATCGGTGAACACGTGGTAGTCCACGTCCGTGTACGGCACGAGCATGACGCGATCCTGGTATTCACCATACGCAATGAACGCCAGCCGGATAAAAAAGGCGGCCGCCACGTGGTGTGACGCCATATTGGCTGAGCGATCTCTTCAAACGTCAGATGCAGGCACGTCACTCAGTGTGCAACCATTACCACCATCAGTTCCTGGCACACACGTCCCTCAACGACTAACCACGACCACAATTCGCCCTGCCACACACACTACACCTTCGCTACAACCGCTTCTCGCGACTACCAGCCCACACCACTACCGGGCACCGGCGGCTGCGGGCTTCCTGGCGGCCTCGGCGTCGGCGGCGGCGGCGGCTCAGTAGCGGCCGCCCTGCCGCCTCGCCGCGTCCTGCAGACACTGGCGGAACACGCCGAACTCGCGCTCGCACTCTCCTCGCCGCGCCTCGCCGTCCTTCAGCGCCACGCAGCGGGCGTAGGCGGCGCCCTCGGGGCCGCAGGCGGCCAGCAGGCGGGGGTAAGCTCGCAGGCGGGCGCGCGCCCTCCGCGCCGCGTCCATGGTGGCCGGCGTCGCTCAACGCAGGTCGGACGGCGTCAGCGCCGGTCTCTCGCCGGCGCGAACGTAGCGCACGCCCTCCACCTGCTCCCGGAAGAAGATGTCGTAGATGGGCCGGCTCCAAAGGATCAGCAGCGACGAGCTGACGATCAGGGAGAACACCGTCTGTGGAGGAGAGCGGTTCGGCGCGTGTGATGATGAGACCTAGCGGGCGGCACAGCTGGCGAAAACGGTACAGTACAAGGCATTTAACAACCCGCATATCAGCACCGCCAGCTACAAATTGAGGAGTTAAGATCTCGCGTGGGTCAAATAAACCCTAGTTCCCGGCCTGCCAAAGTACACACACTAATGCTGTGAATGTAACCCTGACCTTGCGTTGCCAGACCTCTGCGACTGTACTTTGACCGAAGACAACCATGACCCCATTCTCGATCACACCCTGACAGGTGACTCATTGCGGAAAGGCAGGGCGCCAGGCTAGTGCAGGTTATCTTAACGTCTCAACAAAAGCCCGTGTGTGTTGACAGCCAGATAACACGCCGGCGACAAACCGCTGCGACGGAGTTGCCTGCCGCCGCAGTCGGGCCCCGGCGCACAGCACTTGAGCACGCTTACAGGACGGTAAAAAATCCGCAACTCCCGAACAAAGCAACGTAGAGCAATGAAACAAACACCAGGTGAATCGTCACATCGAGTAGCATCATGTGCGCCAACACTTTAAGACTAATGTAGAGTCGAAGGTATTCCCACTACGTCGCAGGGAGCTAATTAGACCGTGATAGGAGTGAAACGATGGCTATTTTAGCTGTACGTTTGCAAACTTTCTGACGGGTAAAATCAATGCCCTGGTACGCAACTGGGCGGCGGCCCGGATCAGCTGGGAGCCTGACCTCAGGCGGCGGCGCCGCTACCTCGACCCCACCACTGGTACAACACTGGTACAACACTGGGCGGCGGCCCGGGTCAGCTGGGAGCCTGACCTCAGGCGGCGGCGCCGCTACCTCGACCCCACCACTGGTACAACACTGGGCGGCGGCCCGTGTCACCTGGGAGCCTGACATCAGGCGGCGGCCCGTGTCAGCTGGGAGCCTGACATCAGGCGGCGACGCCGGTCACTTGGGAGCCCAACATCAGGCGGCGGCGCCGGTCACCTGGGAGCCTGACATCAGGCGGCGACGCCGGTCACCTGGGAGCCTGACATCAGGCGGCGACGCCGGTCACCTGGGAGCCTGACATCAGGCGGCGGCACCGGTCAGCTGGGAGCCTGACAGCCGGTGGTGCCACCGACAGCCGGCGCCGCCACGATCCCACCATTGGCCTCCTGCCACCGGCGGCGCATCAGGTCTCACCTCATCCGCGATACGGTTCTGAATAGCGCTTCCAGCTGAGACCGCCCAGTCTCAACCACCTTAATCCGAGACGACCTCTGGCCATACCGGTTCAGTCCAAGTCACCGCCGGTATGCAGAACAATGGAGCTATTCTGTAGATGCCCCGACCGCCGCGACTTTATGTTGTTTATTTGCATTTGTTTTATGAAATGTTTTCCAGATGTGCAGCACGCACCGGGTGCCATCTGAGCACAGGCATCAAGGGCCAAAACGGAAGGCGTTCCACGCCCAAGGCGATAAAGGTGGCCACAATACTATTTTCGGGGTGCGTTCGATCAAGCGGGCCGGCATAGGTGTCGTGACGTGCCGAAGGTGTTGGACGGCCGGCGCCATTTCGCCATGGTGGATGGCCAAGTTGCTATGCGACGCCAGCCGATTCAGCAGGCAGGATCACTTAGATAAGCTTGGTTGGTCCAGATGACTGTGGTGCAGACGTTTCAAATGGTTACACGGGAAGGCAATGAATATGTGATGAAAGCATAGCATATCACATAGCGACTACGTACATGAATTTGCTTTACGCTAGGACATCGACTCAAGCGTTGTTTACGGGCAACGACAATGCCTGCTTTCAAACCAACGGAGACGGCCAGCACCGCCGCAGGCCATGCGCTGACCGAAGGACATGTGGTGTGCTTCTGTGTCGCTGGCTGAGCCGTTTACGCCAGGCGAAACGATGGCTGTCCAGCGCTCATACGCACCCAAACCACTGACCGTTTTCAATGCTACCACAACATTGGTTCTGCGAAGTGGTAGGAAGCGAAGCGAACTAAGTGACTCAAAAGTATCTACAAATAGCAACAGTTCCCGAGCAGCCGGTCACCCACACAGAGCGATCAAGTGATGCCGCCCGGTTGAAAAACAATATCAGCTTGAAATATTCCGCAACGCGAACGATGCAATCAGGGGTAATAAATGGAAGCTTGGTTCGGTCCTCTCCCTACGTCAGGACGTATCGTACCACGGTCACGTATGACATCATACAAGCCGGATGAAACCACCACCATACATCGCCCGCGCCGCGCCCACGCACCATGACGTGCCTGGACGGCCTGAGACCATTCTGTGCCTGGCCCGCCGGGCACCATGCTGTGTCCGGACCGCCAGACTCTATGGCGTGTCTCGACAACCTGACACGACGCCGTGTCTGGACTGCCTGACACCATGATGTGTCCGGACCGCCAGACACTATGGAGTGTCTGGACCGCCTGACACCATGCTGTGTCCGGACCGCCAGACACTACGGCGTGTCTCGACAACCTGACACAATGCCATGTCTGGACCGCCTGGCACCATGCTGTGTCCGGAACGCCAGACACTATGGCGTATCTCGACAATCTGACACTATGTCGTGTCCGGACCGCCTGGCACCATGCTGTGCTCGGACCACCATACACCATGCTGTGTCCGGGCCGCCTGACACTATGGCGTGTCTGGACAACCTGACGCCATGCCGTGTCTGGACCGCCTGACACCGTTCGGTGCCAGGACCACTCGGCACCCTGTCGACTGTATCGTGCTTAAACTACACGACGCCGTGCCATGTCCGCACCGCTTCATATCAAGCGATGTCTGGACAGTTCCCACACAAAATACCGAACGGAAAAAGTCTAATCGAAAAAAGTCGAAGGACAAAGAGTCGAAAGGGACAGAAGTCAACACGGTAATATATACGGACTAGTCAAAGAACATCATCGCCAACGCCATCATTGTCGAAATGGTTTTAAACAGAAGAGTTATCAGAATTTCACGCCTGGCACCAGAGGTGGATAAAGCTGTGGCCACGTGGAAAGACAATTCGAACTTGATGGAATTGGATGGGACGCGAAGGGAGCAGGCGGGACCGTAGGAGACCAGAACACATCAGAGGGTACGAGGCGAGGACAGGCGAGATGGAGCCAGACGGATAAAACCGGACGAGACCAGATGGGACCAGATGGGACGGGACGGGATCGAACCGCATGACCCTGGACGGAACCACGCGTAACCGGGCGCGATCAGACAGCTTCAGATGGAACCAGGCGCGGTCGAAAGAAACAGCACGCCACAGGACAGGACCACAAGGAACGAGACGGAACCAGTCGAAACCAGACAAAACCGGACTGAACCGGACGGGACAGGACTGGACGGAGCATGATGCTATCGATGGGGTAAGACGGGGCCAGGGAAATGTTTAAAGGACCTTTTAGGAAAGCTGCTATCTAAAAGCCTAAATACAACGCCAAAATACAGGTTTTAGCTGTTTCGCACCAGCACCTGGTTCTCACGACATACACGGCGGCGTGCGGCTCCGGTATACCCGGCGCGTTACGTTGGGAGGGGGGGGGGGGGATGGGCGGGGTCCGCGGGGCGGGCGCGGGACGTCGGAACGTATCTGTTGTACAACTGTGCCAGCAGTGAACCTGCGTAAGCATTATGCCACCCTAAAAACTCTCATTTTGTAGACCCGTTGCATATGCAAAATTTGCTGGTTGATGTCAGCGAGAAAGGAATCCCTATGGTTATTTGGCCAGCTGCGTACTTTCGCAAAATGAGTGTTGGAGGAGAAGGAAGAGGGTGTGACAGCGAAAAATGAGGAAACTTCCATTCAAAACGCCAACAAATGGGTTTTCCCGGGTTCGATCCACTTTCCTCCCAAGGTTTAAGAGATCCGGAGGGGGGGGGGGGGGGGGGGAGGCCGCAGCCCCCTCCAACCAACTGAATAGGAAACTTCATCCTCGTGCTTCATCCGTGAGTTCGCTACACTGAGTTGTCGACCTTTAAAGAGGGTGTTCCACATTTCTGTTGGTTTTGCTCCGAAACAGCCATTTTGAAGACCATTCGGTGCAGTTCACAGACCTGCCCTTCTCAAGACCTAGAACCTTCTAGATACTGAGCTATATGACCGCGAAGATCTGCCGACTATTTCGTGTACACTATTTCAAGGTCACCATCCATCCACACCACCATATGACGTCATTCAAACCCCGCCATTACATTTGCCATCCTGCAATCAGGGCCAAAACAAATACACCTGTCACGTCGTTCACGTATGGCGTTTGTGAGCACAATTTCCAGATACAGATCCAGAGCCAGAGCACAATCCAGATCCAGAGCACAATCCAGATCCAGAGCACAATTTCCAGATATAAGGACTGTTAATTGGCTTTCAATTAATGTTGTGCAAGGTACGATGACGCGATCAAACAATGACATTTTGAAGGGCATAAGCACTGCACAGAGGCACTGTGTTGTCTGGAGCGGTCTTTTCCGCATCAAAGTATATCAACGCTTATAAGTGAGCTTATTTCGTCATATCTGATGCTTGTTTCAATATCTTCAAAGGTGCAACATAAAGACATAGAGCCATTTAGCCAACAAAGAGCCGCAAGGCCCCATCCAGGCTGGCCTATCTGAGGTTCCGT